AGGCTGCCAGAGCTCAGGGAGGGTTTGGCTGATCCTCTGGGGCACAGGGGGTGACTCTTGGGGCTGGGCCTGTGCAGGGCTCAGGGTTGGACTCCGTGATCCTTGGGGGTCCCTCCCAGCTCAGTGCTTCTGTGGTAACCAAAGGAGCATTTCCTGGTGGGAAACACAAGCCCTGAACCTGTCTGACCGTGTCCTCCCTCCTGTCCCCTGCAGTGCACGCCCAGAAGCAGAACAGACAGACCTGCGTGCGGAAGAGCCTTATCTGCGCCTTCGCCATGGCCTTCATCATCAGCGTCATGCTGATCGCGGCCAACCAGATCCTGAGGAGCGGGATGGAGTAGCCCCTGGCCATGCCACTGTGACCCAAGCTGCCCATGCATGTGCATGCCCACCTGGGGGACCTCCCCCTGGCCCGACTCCACACGGCAAAGAGACACAGGCAGGCAAAGCACCACTCGAGCGGGAGCCCGAGGCCAGCGGCGTAAACGTGTCTTGTGAATCAACCACATCCTTTTTGGCAGGGACATCAAAGGGCTGTCTTAATGCTTTAAAGGTTTTGTTTCCTAATGCAATAAAAAAACACCCCCCCCAATCACCCCCATATAGAGGAGTCCCAAATTATTGCTTCAAAACAGCGATGGTGACTCGGAAGGGACTTGGATCCAGCAGCCTGTGTGGCAGTTTTGAGGAGGCACAGCCTCAGGACTTACTGCAGTGGGGCTGTCTTTGAACCAGGGGCCCACTGACTGTCCCACTGGGCCCACATTCCCAGGAAGTTGATCGTAGCATTGCCACAAGCAAGTCTCATTTGTTTGATTTCACCTCCTCCAGCTCCACTTTCTTTTCCCTTATGACCATGCCATGGAGTTCACGGCATCAGAGGGGAGCCAGAGCATCTTGTACAGTATTTTCTGAGGAAAAAAAAAAAAGGAGAATTCGCCAGCATCACACAAAATGTCTATTTTTTGCTTCCTAAACACAAGACTGGAGGTAGTAGGAGTCTGTTTGCCATTTATTCCCGACTGTGAATCAGGGCTTGAGAAGCACCACCCGTTTTTCACACATGGGCATTGGTGAGACTTGTGCACAGTCTTCCAACCGACTCTGCAACCACCAGCACAGCTCCAACTCCCTCTATCTGGTCCTGTCTGCATATTCAACAACATTTCCTCCCCAGCAGTTCTGCCTTTCTTCGATATTAGCCTTCAAGAACCTTATTCAAGATGAAAATCCCGAGGGAAGCTCTTTCTGGGCTTTCCTTCCCTCTCCTCGCCTGGGCAATTTTTCTTTCTTTCATTTCACACGCCCTGGTTGGAATCTGCAGTGAAAGCTCCGTGTCAGACATCCTGTGGGAGAGGTTCCATTTCCCCTCACGCTGCAGGGTGTGGGTTTGACCATCCAGCTGCTCTGGTGCCTCCCAGGAGCCGTCCCAGCACCGCCACCTCCGTCCCTTGGGCAGGTTCCAAAGAGGACAAGAGGAAAAGGAGAAGAATGATCCAAACCAGAGCCCACCACCGTGTGTTCCGAGGTGTGTCAGACTTTCAGATCCTGTGAGTGTTTGTCAGCTCCCCTGGAGGAGATTTTCATGAGCAGCAAGGAGAAGGTGGAGTGATGCAGACTGGAGACACGAGTACAAGGCGAGCCTGGAGCCAGGATTACAGCAGGGAGGATTTTTCCTTTTCAGCTCGACACAAATCCTTGCATTTGCCTTTGGATGAACTGGGTGTCACACCGGGACACATCCGATTCCTTGCCCCGGTGGAAGAGGTTTCCCAGCTGGTGCTCATGGAGCACTCCCAGGGAGGTCCATGGAGTTGGAGCTGAGTTGTTGTTCCGGCTGGGAAAGCTCCAGAGCTCCAAGGAACAGTGAGATCTTGCTCCTGTAAATGTAGGTGACTGTTTCCTGTGCCACAGGAGGGGCAGGATGGCTCCCCAGGGGATTGCAAACCACCAGCTCCCCCCATCCTACACAGCAGCCATTGACTTAAACCTGGATCCATCCCAAAGACTCATTGCAGGTTGTTCTTTGGTGACAAGTTTGATTGATAACATTTAACCTGTATTTTCAGTAGCCTAATTTAAAAATCTGTTTCTTGTTGGTCTGTGTCCCATCAGCCCTTTTGAACTCAAGTCAACCACCTCATCCCTGTCATTTCCCTGGTGTCCCCCTCCATCCCAAGGACAACAACCCCCTTTTCCAGAGCAGCTGAGGTTTTTATTCCGCCTTTCCCAAAAGCCCAACTTCTGCATTTCTGTTCTGCTGTGAGTAATTGAGGTGAACTGCAAACTATTCCCTAAAAAACTGGTTCTATCTCCCAGAAGATGGCGAGGTTTGTGTTTGCTGGAGGGCAGCAGCAGACTTCAAACCAGCAGCAGAATATCTTAGGGCAGCTCTGGCGTGGGATTTGCAGCATTGGGGGGCCAAGGGACACTGGCTGAGCTGGACAGTGCAGATAATGAGCTTTGAGATCATCTGAAGGCAATTGTCATCACATTTTGAGGTCTCAGGGGTCTGTGGAGAGGTGGCAACAGTGAAAAAAAAACCCTCTAAATATTACTTGTCAGTGAGTAATCCTTATTCTTTTCTCCTGGGGCTGTGCTGGAGGGAACATGGAGAGCTGGGGTGGCTGGAGAGGTGGGCACTGACCCACTTCCCCCCTCAGCAATGGCAGAAACACAGGGCCTCTTTGCTGAGCCCACAAACACAACCTAAACCACAGACCAGGCATCTCCACCCCCTTCTCCCAGTGAACACCCAGCAGACTCCCACCATTGCATATCCTTTAGGATGAGGTGACTGTCTGCATTCCTCCAAGCTTTCTGGAAGGCTCCATGATTTCCTCGTGCATGCTCCATAGAAACCACTGTAAATACAGCCATTCTTCACCCTGAAGCTCCATTTGTAGAACCAAACCTAGAACTAATACCTTGGTAAAAGCCATAGCCTGGTGTCAGTAGAGTTCATTGCACAACTCCCCACTGATTTCACTGGGTACAGGATTTTGGGGGGGTGGGAGGGGTTTGGAGGCAATTTTTCTGTAGGGAAACTAATTTATCTGTTAGGAACCAGTGTCATGTCTTGCCAGAGGTCTTCTTTTCCTTCCTAGATCAGCCTTTCATCTACAGGCATCTTGAAGAGATCCCTTCTTGAGTCAGTGAGGCTCCACTGGCAATTCAGGATGGATCAGGCGAAGCTCTTTCATCCTTTCCTCTCCCCAAAACCTTCCCATCCTTCCTAACCAGCAGCACTGGACCTCTGTCTCCTCCCAGCCTCCCTGGCTCCATTTATGTAACATCCATTTATCTTTTTTTTTCTTCTTCTTCTACATGAGAGAGGGGGGGAAAAAAGGGCTTTTTGCTGCTTTTACAGACAGTAGGTAAAAATAGAGCGGTAAAATTTTGATTGGAACCTGATGGCAAAAGCTTAGGGGGAAGAAAGTGGAAGAATCAAAGACATAAAAATAAAAAACCCCACATCCCATACTTGAAGAAAAAAAAAAAAAACCTATTTAAGTGCTAATTAACATACTTTAAAAAATACCCAGACTGCAGCGAGGCAGAGCTGTCAGAAAAAGCACTAAACTTCTGCTCTCGCCTGTTACAGGAGAATTTAAGTGTCTTTTCAGCACTGCAATTCTGGAGGAAAAGGAGATTTCCATGGCAACCGCGGCTGTTCGTGACATGTGAGCACCGTGCGGAGCGACAGAGCTGTCCCGGCCCCGCTCCGCGAGCAGGGATGGACAAACAGCTCCCAGAAACCTGGACACGCGGGTTGCTCCCGGATCAGGGAATCATCAGGAAATCGTGACCGGCTCTGCAGCTTCTCCCGAGGGGCAGCTCCGAGCCCTGCTCCGCGTGAGCAGCGACAGGACCGGAGGGAGGGGCTGGAGCTGTGCCAGGGCAGTTTGGGGCACCAAAACAAAAGGAAGATCTGAAGCCATCAGAGAGTGTCCAAAGGAGGGAACGAGGGTGGGGAAGGGCCTTGATTTGAAGGTGCATGAGGACACTGAGGGCACTTGGTGTGTTCAGCTGGAGCAGAGGAGACTGAGGGGAGACCTCACTGCAGTTCCACCTTCCTGGGCAGGGGCAGAGGAGGGGCAGGGACTGAGCTCTGCTCTGGGGGGACCAGGGACAGCAGGCAGGGAATGGCTGGAGCTGTGTCAGGGCAGGCTCAGGTTGGATCTCAGGCAAAGGTTCTTCCCCCAGAGGCTGGTTGGGCACTGCCCAGGCTCCCCAGGGCAGTGGGCACAGCCCCAAGGCTGCCAGAGCTCAGGGAGGGTTTGGCTGATCCTCTGGGGCACAGGGGGTGACTCTTGGGGCTGGGCCTGTGCAGGGCTGAGGGTTGGACTCCATGATCCTTGGGGGTCCTTTCCAACTCAGGATATCCCATGACTATGATTCTCTAAACTCTCTTGGCTTGGCTTGGCTTGGGAAGGTTTGGAGAGGGATGTGGTTGTTTTAACTTGAGAGAGGCCTTTGGTTTGCTCAGGAGTGAGGGAAATCAATGCAGCCTGAGCTCTGCTCCACACAGGCTTGGAGAGGACACTTTGGGTGGTTTCTCTGTGCAGGGATTGATCTCTGATGGAAGGGTTTGGGTTGTTCCTGCTGGGACATCACTGGGCTGTGCCACTGATAACCACTAACTTTGGCTTTGAGGGCACACCCTCATTCCCTGCTCCTGGAGAAGCCAGAGGGGGGAACAGCAGGCACATGACATGAAATCAAATGACAGCAGGCACATGACTGAAATAATTTGGAGACCAGGGAGAAGAGAATTCCAGCAAAAAGAACTTTTCTCCCCTGTCAGGTCCACAGCCACACCTTAGGGGCAGCCATGAAGAAAATCAGGATGAGATTCCAGGCAGGATATTGGGGTTGTCCTGTGCAGGGCCAGGAGTTGGATTTGATGGTCCTTGTGGGTCCCTTCCCACTCAGAATATTCTGTTTCTGTGTTTCCATGATGGTGGTGGTGGCCCTGGGGACCAGGCTCCTGCTGTGCCACCCAAGGACCTCGCTGGAGCCTGATCCTCTCCACGAGTCCAACCACTGAGAAGTCACTTCTAATCAGGAGCAACATCAACAGGGATGTAAAGAATCAAACAGGGTGGGCAACTGGGAAGACTTGGCTTTGTCAGGGAGAACCTGGTCCTCCTGCTGGGGGAGGTCGTGGAGGATGAAGGAGAGTTGTCAAAGTCATGTCTGACGGGGACACACAGACCTGCCAGTGCCTGGCAGGAGACACCCTGACCTGGGGAAGGTGCTCACAGACCTTCCAGGTTCACAGACCTTCAAGGCTGACATACCCCCAGGACAGGGGTCACCTGGAGCAGAAGAGCTGAACATCTGGGTGTCATCTGGTGATTTGGAGAGATCTTTGAATCCAGAGGTTTTTGGGAGCTCCCGTGTTGGACCCGGTGCCCTGGGAGGGCTGGATGTTGGTTGCTCTCCACGGGAGACTTCCAGAAACTTTGTAAAAAGGATTTGTACATGGATACCCAGCTTTTTTACCCAGCTGGGGCCAAGTAAACAGGGTTTTAAGTCCAAAACCAGGGCAACAAGCAGGGAAATCAAGCAAAGGTGGAAAGCTTTGAATGGCTGAGGTGTGTTTGGATCAGCAAAGCATCCCCTGGCAAATCCTTCTTTTTCCATGGAAAGCACAGGAATATTTTATCACGAAAAACACTTGGCCTGTTGCAAAGACCAAACCATCTCCTGGGAATGCTTTTCCCATGGAAAACTCCCCCCCCTCTCCTGGTGTGCACGTGCCCAGAGCAGGCAGAGCTGTCACCACACACCCAGAGAGGAGCTCAGGCCCCAGGCAGGCTCAGCTCTGCCAGGAGAAGGAGCAGTAGGAGGAATACATTAAACTCCCTAAGAATGAGGTTCCTTATTTTATCCACCCATGTAATAAATTATTTAGTTTCTGCTT